ATTACCATGAAGAAGGAAGAGGGGAACACCTGCAAAATCAACGAAGAAAAATGGTACATCGTTTCCTCTTCCATTGGCTCGTTTTTCCTGCCTTGCATCATCATGGTCCTCGTGTATGTCCGAATTTACCAGATCGCCAAGAAGAGAACCAGAGCGCCACCTGGGGACCGGATGATAAAGGAAGCGGGCAAGAAGGAGAACGATCTGGAGAGGGATCCCCATGAGAAGCTCAACGGGAATCCAAACCCTAAACTGGACGACAAAGGTGAGATAAATGGCATGGACTTGGAGGAATCGTCCTCCTCGGACCACAATGTCTCCAACCCTTGCTCTCTCAAGAAGAAGAGCTCAAAAGGAAAGACTAAGCGGAGCCAAATCAAACCGGGGGACGGCGACAAGCGCGAGGTCCTTCAGACCACCAAGACCAGCAGGTGGAAGGGCCGCCAAAACCGGGAAAAGCGCTTCACGTTCGTCTTAGCGGTGGTCATAGGTGTGTTCGTCATCTGCTGGTTCCCGTTTTTCTTCACCTACACGTTGACGGCGTTTTGCGAAAGATGCGTGCCAGAAACGCTTTTCAAGTTTTTCTTCTGGTTTGGCTACTGCAACAGCTCCCTCAATCCCATTATATACACCATCTTCAATAATGACTTCCGAAGATCCTTCAAGAAGATCCTCTGCCGGAGAGATAACAGGAGAGTGGTGTGAATTGGGTTGCTGTTTTTTTTCCCTTTCCTTTATCCAATGTAATATATCACCTGGCGTTTATGGGAAGTCCCTGTGTACAGTAAGCCAACATGTTGTGTGTCATTATACAACAAGTCCGAAGAGGGAAAAAAAGACACTTACATGCTTTGTACAAATGCAACAATGCATGGTTATGCAAATACAGCACAATGCATATTGACCCATTTCTGAAGTGTATTGTTGTATCGTTCTTAATATACAGTGAGTGGTGTAGTTTCATAACTGGTATTTTACCATCTGGAGGGACGTATTCGAAGACAATGCATCATTCTCAAACCACGCTGGATGTTGTTCAAAATGTGAAAAACAATTCAAAAAGGACTACAAACTTGGCCTTCAAACTTCATAATGTGTTGCAAAACTGTCAAACTACGCCGCAACATGCATGTCAATGTGTTCTCGCAGGGCTTATTTATTTCACTGACATATTGTATAATTAATTGTGAAGGTGTTGATAGTGTTTGGTTGACTAATTGTCTTTTTTATCCCTGCCAGTAACGGTTCGTTTAAAATCTTGCTGTGGACCATTAGGCAAAAAGATGTTGAGCTCGTCTGACTGGAACCTGACAGGCCGGT